TGCTAAAGAAGTATGACAAGCTGGTGCAATCAGTAGAGTGCTTAACGGTGATCAAGCAACTGGAAACTGGCGGTGGGTACCGCACACTTCCACTGCCCTTCTCGTCAGACCTTAACCATAGTCAGTGGTGGTGTCAGCAGCACTAGCAAGTGTTCCGTCTTAACTATGCTTTGAAGCAGGTTTCAAATGGTGGTTAATCAAACCTTGGCATATGTTGCTATGTGAGAGAGGATAATACCGAGACCACAGGCATTAATGTTATGTTGCAGTCTTCTGTTTGTAGAACTGGATGAATAATTTGATTTAGTCTGATATGAAATTATGCTGTACTGTACTTGTTTCTCAACAAAAATAAGTTGCAGAATGAAGATGGCAGTTAGTTTGTTCTGACCTGTTCTGTAGGTAATGCATAAATTATGCAAGAGTCCGGTAGCACCTTAAAGACTAACGAAATTTGTAGCAGATACTGAAGAAGTGAGCAGTGACTCATGAAAGCTTGTACCCTGCGACAGATTTGGTTAGTCTTTAAGGTGCTACTGGACTCTTGCTTTTTTCTACTGCTACAAACACAGCTACCCGTCTTGATCTGGCTACAAAAAATTATGTTTCTCCTTTGTTTCTGTAGACCCCTGTATTTCAAATTAATCGAAGAGTGCATTTCACAGATAGTTCTGCATCGAAGCGGAGTAGATCCAGATTTTAGTTATCGTAAAAGATTGGATGTAGACTTCAGTCATTTGATGGGTAGGTTTTTTTCATTTTGGGTTCCTACAAAGTGTATTTCTTAAAAAAAAATCACAATCACAATCAATTGGTTATCCAGACTTCTGCAGCTTTCTGTTGCTTTTTAGCTGAGTACCTTTATAACAGTTGAACTCTGGAGGCTATTTTCTACATTACACAGTAGCTGTCCTGAGTGTACCTCTGATACTGTACTGAAAAACAAGCCACAGCTACTTCTGGCTCCCTGTATGATGCATCTGATCACTGAGGCTCTGTAAAACAATTTAGATATATAGTTAAATTGTAATGTGAATTAATATTTCGAAAATGATCCCGACATTCTCTCTTTTCTCTCCCCCCCCAGCCCCTGCCTGATCTACTAACGATAAAAAAAAAAATCATTAGCATTTCATAGATAACGAGGTCCCATAAATACTAATAGGAGATGTGCTGTTAAATTGTTAGCACTGCTGGGCCTCTACTTCATGAATCTGTCTAAACCCCTTTGAAAGCCATCTATGCTTGTAGCTATCACTGCACATGCTGGCAGTGAATGCTATTAAATCTAATTAATTGTGGAATTCACTGTTACTGAATTGCATCAAGCATAGACAGCTTTAAAAGGGATTAGACGGGTTTGTGGAAGAGTGGTTCATCAGTGGTTACTAGCTATGATAATTAAAGTGAACCTCCATATGTGGAGGTAGTAAACCTCTGAATAACTCTGCTAAGAGGTAGCATCAGGCCAAGGCTGTGTGTGTTTGGCCCTCCAGGGCAACTGATTGCTCGCTCTGTTTTATACAAGGATGCCTCTTATGTTCTTTTCTTCAAATGCTTCTGATTTGAGAAGATCGATTCCACCAAGTGCATTGTGCTCTTTTCAGTGAAACCAAATGCTCATTGATACTGAATTTTGAGAATCTGGGCCCTAATTTACTCCAGTGGTTGAGCACTGACCAGTAAGGAATACACACTATTAAAACAGATTGTAAGACAACATAGACCACAGGTGAATCTCTGTCCAGGGGACAACCTTATAAAGATACATGAATAAAACAAATAACATTGGTATATTCAAAAGAAATCCATAAATATACAACGGTGGTAAAAACCAGTGTTAGTTTTAGGCAATTCAGAGCTGTTTGTTAAAGAGTAGAGTGGTTCTGGATTTAAAAAAAAGTGGAGACAGTATGAGATGCATAAAGGGGAAAAATGCACTTAATGAGTGACAAGGGTTGAAAAGAGAAGAATGATGGGGAGAGGGGAGTGGCGGTTGAAAAGATGTGAGAGGCTCCTGGCTAAGAAGATAGATGCCTGTGGGACCAAGAGAGGAATTTTTGTGGTAAAGGCATCAACAGTTCTCAGTGAGTGGGAGAAGCTACCTCTAGAGCCAGTTTGGCGCAGTGGTTAAGTGCGTGGACTCTAATCTGGGAGAACCGGGTTTGATTCCCCACTCCTCCACTTGCACCTGCTGGATGACTTTGGGCAAGCCATAGTTCTGGCACAGCTGTTCTTGAAAAAGAGCAGTTTCTGTCAAGAGCTCTCTCAGCCCCACCTGACTCCCAGGGTGTCGGTTGTGGGGAGGGGAAGGGATAGGAGTTTGTAAGCCGCTCGGAGACTCCTTTTGGTAGTGAAGGGTGGGGTATAAATCCAATCTTCTCGTTCTCTAAAACTGTCCTGTTCTGTGCTTTTTGTTCTTCATTGATGAAAGGCAGGCCCTCCCGACTCTTTCTTGTTTACTCAGTTATCAGAATCTAATATCCACTTGTCGGTCAGCATGGCTAATAACCTTGCACGAAAACTCCCTTCCTTGTCCATCACATTTTCATCATCATGCTCTGGTGCTTTCAGAGCCATTTGGTTCATTAAAAAATTCACCTTTGCATTTTTAGCTGTTTAACTTTATTGTGTTTGTCTCATCAAGAATGTCAGGCCTTGACACATTTTCTTTGGCTGTAGAAACCAGCTTCAAAATTAAGGAGCAAGACTAATTTTTCAGGTTTCAGGGTTTCATAGTTTAATTACCAGATGCTCTAATTATTGCTACTACACAACCTAATCCTGAGGTTTCTTGTAGTTTTAGTGAAGCCATAACAAACATTGCAGTATATAAACAAAAAAAGGGGATGCTGATGATAAACAGATTACAAGGTATACCATCTATATATCTAATACCGAAGTAGCCCCCTCTGTGCGGATATCTAAATCAGCACAGAGGGGGCACTTGTGGGGGAGGGAGAGTTTTGTGCACACGTGGGGCGGTCCCCAGGTGTGCACAAAAAACTAAAAAGTTAAAAAAAATCAGGGGGATACTTAAACCCCCCCCCAAAAGTGACAGAGCAGGGAACGGTCTGTAGCCGACCTCGCCGCCGCCGCCGCGGAGCCGGGTGGGGGGGAAGATCGGCCTCGCC